ATCATTCTGGGATGTAGTAAGCAAGACATGAGAAGTAATTCTTCTGCTCTACTCCATACTGATTAGGCCTTAACTGGAGTATTGTTGCCTAGTTCTGGGTGCCACATTTTAGGAAAGATGTGGACAAATTTGAAAGTCCAGAGAAGAGCAACAAAAAGATTAAAGGTCTAGAAAACATGACCAATGAGGAAAGATTGAATAAACTGGGTTTAGTCTGGAGAAGGGAAGACTGAGAATGGACATAATAGTTTAAGTACATAAAAGATTGTTACAAGTAGGAGGGTGAAAAATTGTTCTCGTTTAACCTCTGAGGATAGGACAAGAAGCAATGGATTTAAATTATAGCAAGGGAGGTTTTGGTTGGACTTCAGGAAAGAACTTCCTAACTGTCAGGGTAGTTAAGCACTGGAACAAATTACCTAGGGAAGTTGTGGAATCTCAGGCCTGGTCTACACTGGGGGGGATCGATCTAAGTTACGCAACTTCAGCTACGTGAATAACGTAGCTGAAGTCGACGTACTTAGACCTACTCACTGTGGTGTCTTCACTACGGTGAGTCGACTGCTGTCACTCCCCCGTCAACTCTGCCTGCGTCTCTCACGGTGGTGGAGTACAGGAGTTGATGGGAGAGCGCTCAGGGGTCGATTTATCGCATCTAAACTAGACGCGATAAATCGACCCCTGCTGGATCGATCGCTGCCTGCTGATCCGGCGGGTAGTGTTGACATACCCTCAGTGATTGGAGGTTTTTAAGAACTGGTTAGACAAACACCTGTCCGGAATGGTCTAGTTATTTGTTCTGCCTTGAGTGCAGGGGACTGGACTAGACGACCTCTTGATGTCCCTTACAGTCCTACACTTCTGTTATTCTATATTTCATGTTTGAGGTTAAGAACTATTTTTCTATCCAAATATTGACTACGGGAAGGTAAAATATTTAAATGTGCCTTAAGTGACCTGGGCTCCTAAATCACTAATGCTGCATTATTAGCACCCTAAAAGCTCCTGCTGACTCAGGTCAAATATGTAGAGGTGCAAAGAATGCAGAGTAGAGCACTGTCAGAAAGGACTCTTTCAGAAAACGTGACTCTGGATAATCCAATTAAGGAAATCCTGGTGTTTATAACTTGTGGTTCCTGAGTTCATCTTATTTTGGCGCATAACTGTGGGATCTGGAACAAACCTCTTCTAATGGATTGTTTGTTTGTGTTTGAATTGTTTGTTTCCCAGGCAGTAGCAATATGGGCGAAACACTTCCCACTGGACAGCTGTCCAACATTCCTTGGCGCAGAGCAGTGGTAAAGTACACAAACAACGAAGCCTATTTTGATGTAATTGAAGAAATAGATGCAATTATAGACAAATCAGGTAAGGTGTCATGTCAACGTAGATTTGCTTGTCAAAGGACGTTTCAACATTCTATTTAGCTAGTGCTGTTTAGCAAGAATTCAAGCAGTCTAACTGGCTGCCTCTATACATAACATTTAAGTACGCTGCCCATTTGAAATACCATGCACAAATGTATTTATTTCATCTCATAATAGCAATATGGCCTGGGCCACTTACTCAGCAAGCTTTTGATTTCAAGAAGTACCCTGCATCTAGATAATTATGGCTTATCTATTGGTACCTTCTTACGGTTACTAAAAGAAACATATTTCTTGAAGGCAAAAGCTTTAAGCTGGTCTGTTATCTTTATGTCCACTGTTTTATGCTAACAACTCATCCTTATGTTCAAGGCTTCTCACTGTATGATCAGGACAAAAGTTGTCACTTGCCACCTCTCCAGCTTCCCCATTATCTGCCTCTGTGTAACATTGAGAGAATGCTCTTTTCCGACTAGCCAGCCAGTATGAATGCTGAAAATTAAAATCCCTTGGGGGGGGGTGGGGGGAGCATGACAGTCAGAATACCTTGATACATGGATTGCACCTAACTTGCTCAATAACATCCAAAAAATGTCCTAGGTCTACCCAGTCAGTAATGGTATCACAAAATTGCCATCTGTGTTTCCATTATGGCTCCCTCTTCCAGAAAAGTCTGAGGCTATTTGAATCCAATGTTGTTGCACTAGTTGTGAGCAGTTCATATTTTCCCCCCTAAGATTATTTGACTTCAGTTCCTCAAAGATCTCACTTCCTTTCTTGAGAGACTCCTAGACTTCATTAGAATGTATGCAGCTGATAAGGACCCTTCCCTAGCATAGGACGTTGCCTCATTTTACACAGACTCTCAAATCATGTCCATTTGAAATGGTTTCTCTTCCCCTTCAGGCACGTCACTAAAGTAAATATTAGCCTACAGTTTCCTCTCTTCTGGCCCATTTCAAAATGAGTGAACAGTAGCTTCTGCATTGTGGTGTTTTTTTGTTTGTTTGTTTGTTTTTCTCCCCCCGCCCCCTTCCAATTAATTGTTCTGTTGTATGGCTACATAAGCCCAGAATTCAATTAAAGACCCAAGACCTTTTTGTTCCCTTGGGGCATTTAAGGCAGCAGTTGCTTGTTAGATAAGAAATCTCATGGTGTTGCCTTGTCTGTCAAGACATGACAGATGTAAGAGACTTATTTCACTAAACAATGAGAATATAACCCACAACATTGCAATCTATGAAAGCCAAGGATGATCCAGGCAAGTGCTTCCTGACAAGAGTTGATCACCTGTGCGTATCACATGGTTTGTCTTTCTTCAGCCTCCATATACAACACTGCACAACTTATTAGGAGTAGACTGGTGTGGGGAGGAGCTTTCATGTGTGACATTACCCAGGGTACAATTTGGACTGTTGAACAGCTGATCCTATCAATTCTCCAGCCTCTGGTGCCTTTTACAGTGCTTTGCTATGAGAGCTACCACTCCTGGTCTCCTCACACACAGCTTCCAGCCAGTAAATCACACCCAGCTATACTGTCTGAGTGCTACAGCCAGCAATTCTTGAATTACCAGCTAATTCCCAGTCCCAGACTTTCCCCAGAAACGTGCATCTTATACTGCCCAGCCCTCTCCTGGACAATACAAGCTCATCTAGAGTCCATCATTTTATTTATAGAAAATGATATGCACAAATCCTGTTATCCCAAATGGAGTTTCCCAAGCACTTCATTCCAAACACACTAGTTTAGATAAAACAAGTTTATTAGCTACAGAAAGATAGATTTTAAGTGATTACAAGTAATGAAGCATACAGGTCAGAATTGGTTACAAAGAAATAAAAAGTAAGAACACAATTGATATCTAACTTTAGCAAGCTAAGTGAATTCAAAGCAAAAGGTCTCTCTCGCACATTCTATCAGACTTACTGGCAGAATTCCTTTCAGACAGGATTCCTCCCTCAATCCAAAGCTGTTTTTGTTCCTCAGGTAGTGGTTTTGCCATGGGTAGAAAGAAAGAGAAATGATTTGGAGCGTCTGTTCCCCATTCTTTATACATTTTCCTTTTCTGTGAGAATCGTCTCTAGCTAGTGTTCAGGAGACAGTCTATGGGGATAGGAACCTCCAGCTGTTTCTTTGCCAAGATGTTAATTTCTCACTCTCACCCTTTTTCCTGCCAAAAAATGGCCAATTAACCAGGTGATGGTCTATTTGATTTTGTTGATACCTGGCTGAGGCATCAGTTTGCCTTTTGTCACCGAGGAACTGGTTTGTGACTGCTGAGTAATATCATAAAAAAATCTTATAACTTTACATACAATGTTGCCACACATTTTACTAGGACAATTATGATGATCAGCAAATTGAGTTTTCAAATGATACCTCACAAGACATGATCCATACAGAATTTATCATAGTCTTGTGAAAGAGGTGAACATAGGATTATAGATTGTCACAATATTCTCAACTGGGATGGGACCTGAACAATTGTTTGCTGCAGCTGATCTACCTCAGCAAGCCTTCTGTGATATATGTAACAAGAATGATACTTTCTGTTTGCATAGCTGGATGCTAAACATACTGATATCTTCACCGTTGTATATGATGCATTTATGTCCTCTTTACTGCACTTCCTATTATATTTGGTAAGCTATCCACAGTATACTAAATCATATGTCTCTCACTACTTTTCCAGGTTCCACAGTCTTTGCAGAAATTCAAGGTGTCATTGATTCCTGCATTAAGTTGTCAGGAATGCCTGATCTTTCTCTTTCATTCATGGTAAATCTAGCAATGCAATCAGCCATCGAACTGTAACTGTTTGTATTGTATTTCTAGCAGAGTTATGCAAAAAAGATTGAAATGTTGCCTTCAATCCATACTGTACGGAGAGAAGACTCCAGCTGCTTCATGACTGAGCAGAATGCTCTGATGTAGTCTTCAGCCACGTTATCCAATTTGAATAGTGCATGAAACTTTGCATTGCTGTCACTGCTAGCCACATTGTTCAGTAATTAGTAATGGGGATGTAGAGCCTTTTGTCCCTAGGTCAGCAGTAACTGACAGCTGCCATTATCTGATTGATTGTGGTTCAGAGTCCTAACAATAGGTGGTCACATCAAAACCAGCTCTCCTCAGTTGGCTTCCTTGTTGGCAGCCTCAGCACAGAGGGCAAAGGAGTGAATGTGCCTGGAGATTAAATTGGCTTCTCTCACTTAAAGCCAATCCCTATAAGTCACAGCTTAGGCACCTTGAGGGGGAACTGGCATTTCTACTGTCAGGCTGTACCTGGTCTGATGATCAGGACTGTCAATCTAGCACCTCTCTGCAGCAGCAAAGCTAGGATGCAGGGGGTGAGGAAGAAATAAACCAACTGATATCAAACCTTCACCAGATGTGGGAGAAGCTTACATCTGTCTCGCTTCCTGTAGAACCCGAGGCTTCTGGATGATGTCAGTTTCCATCCCTGTATTCGGTTCAAGCGTTGGGAGTCTGAAAGAGTGCTCTCATTTATTCCTCCAGATGGCAACTTCAGACTGATATCCTACCGTGTGAGCTCCCAAAAGTAAGTTTGTGTTAGCTACCCAGTCTTCACTTGGGACTTGTCTGCACAGTGCGTTAGCCCAAGCGAGAGGGGAGCAAATTCTAGTGTGGACTAGGATGTTGGCCACTAAATTGCCAGTGCAGACCCTGCTAGCATGCACTAAAAGTTTCAAACAGGATTAAGTAATGTGCCCTAGGGAACTTTTATTACACACCAGCTGGCGCCACATGGGCCATTTAGTGCGCACCATGGTAGTGCAAACTGGACTCTACAACCCACTCATGTGGGCTAATGCACCCTGTAAACAAGCCTTGGAATAATCTCATGAACATCTCAATTTGCTCTGACTCATGATTTGATGACTGGAATTCTCATTATTGCTAAATGCATGTTCATGGGTAGCTGTCTGAGATTTATTTAATCTGATGCTCTGCCAGTTTTTTCTAACATAAAACCCTGCTTGGCAGAGATGCTGATATCATCTTAGCTGTGATTGTTCAACTGGGCAGATCACTAGCTTGTAATGGAACATTTAACTCCTGATGTTTCCATTGCTAGAAGCTGATCTGTAATTAAGATGCTATCTCTCTGTAGTACATTGATCTTCACTGGCTTTAAAAAACCTCCACTAAACTGCAATTATCTTCAAGCTTAGTTTCATTTTAATGTAAGCAAAAGTGAGAATGTGTCCAGTCAGAGTGTTTGTAAGTACCTTTTTGTATTAATTGTTGTAAAACTGTTGACCACCAATAGAACTTGCTATTGCATTACAAACCACTAACTTAAGGACTTTGATTTTTTTTCCCCCCTGTTTGGATCTTTTTTTAGGAGAGTATTACTTTCTACTTTCAAGAGAAATTAGTTTTGATTTACCCTGCCAACACCATGATGGATATAAGACTCCTTTGCAAACTGTACTTTTATTTCCCCTAATTTATCTGAAGTAGTCTTTTCTGCTAAGTGCATTTAATTCCCAGTTTCTGTCTTCAGCTTGGTAGCAATTCCTGTGTATGTGAAACACGTAATCAGTTTTAAGGAGAACAGCTCTTCAGGGAGATTCGATGTTACAATTGGACCTAAACAGAATATGGGGAAGACAGTGGAAGGAGTCATTGTGACGGTTCATATGCCAAAAGCTGTACTAAACATGAACCTTACTTCCACACAAGGCAGCTATACATTTGATCCCGTCCTTAAAGTAAGTCTTGAGCTGTTTATTTCTGTCTTTAAATTCAATGCAGACAAAATTTAAAGAAATCAAGAGAAAGCTTCATACTCTAGAGCAGAGGTTCTCGAACTGTGGTCTGCGGACCACCAGTGGTCCACAGGCTCCATTCAGGTGGTCCACGGATAGTTCCCTCTACGGTGTGCGCTTGGGTGGCCACACGTGAGACAGTGAAGGGCCACCCAGCTAATTAGTGGAGCTGCTCAGGCGTGGCTCCACTAATTAGGTGCCTGGCCCCTGGAGAAGGTGAGGTGGTGGCCTTGGGGGGAATAGGAGGTAGGTGGGAGGGGCAGAGGGGTAAGAAGAGGGGGTGGGGGGAATTTGGGACATGCAGGGCTGCAGTGGCCAGAGAAAGAGGCGACTTTCCCCAGCTCCAGCACTGCAGCTGCCAGGAAGAAATGGCCATCCTTCCCAGCCTTAGCTCTCTAGCGGGGGAGAGACCCCCTCCTTCCCAGCCCCAGCAGCGGAGAGAGGGCACATCCATTGCAGTAGAAAGGTAAGACTACTGATATCAAAATGTGAGTTGTGTGCTATTTGTAGAGCAAAAAAAGTTAATTAAGGTTTTTTTATATATAGCGCTTTTATCCAAAGCGCTTTACAATAGTTAGCTAATGGTACAAACAACATTTCGAAAGATCATTAAGTGGTCCGCCGGGACCCTCAGCAATTTTCAAGTGGTCCGTGGAAAAAAAAAGTTTGAGAACCACTGCTCTAGAGTGCTTTGCGTACCAGAGCAAAAATCTAAACTTAACCATTCAGTATAGTTTGACAATCAAAAAACTGCTGTTTTTATCTTTTTTTTTTTTTTTTTTTTTCTGCTAAATTTTAAAGGGCCACAGTCATCTTTGAAACCACATTTTGTACCTGTGTTGTAACCATAACCCTAAAAGGGACTACAGAGAAACACACTTTGTTTAATGCATGTCAGCACTTTGTGTCAATTTCATTTATGGTGCATGCCCTTCCTCCTAAACTCTGTGAGAAGACATTTACTTGTAACTGCTGCAGCAGAACTTTAAACTCAGACCGCAAGTAGCAGGCTGGTATAAGCTGCAACAGGCAAAATAGCCAGCAAGTAGCAGAATAGGGAGTGGATTTGGGTATGTTTGCTGTTGCTCTCACACGGCCCAAAAAATCATTGTAAACAAACAGGGAGTGGAATGGAAAACAGTTGACCTATAATTTTGCTTCTCTGAATATATCATTCCAACATAATTCTAACTCATGCCTCTTGCATATGGGAGTTGACACCCAGAACTCTTAAAGGTTTCTTTGAACCTTAAGAGCAATTTTAGCAGGATGGGATTTGGGCCAAGTCCCACTACTGTATGTTTCATGTCACGTTGATGTTGCTGCTGCCCCAGGAAGTTGCCAGTGAGCTCTTGATTTGAGCACGAAGCAACAGTTCCTCGAAGAAATAGACTGATTCAATAATTTATTTTCATTTTTAAATCAAAAAGCAAACAGAGCCCAAGGCAGACAAACCTACCAGAACTTTGCCCCAGGCGGGAGCGAAGGTGGGCAAAGGAGCAAATAGCCCCAAAACACAAATAAAACCTACTTACACATCCAGCTTCTGGTTCTTCTCCAGTTGGTAAAATCATGCAAATGATCAGTGTCTTTCTACCCTCATTCAGGAAAACTCATTTGGGAAGAGGCAAAATAAAAAGTAGGAAAGAACATAGAAAATCTTGCTGTCTCCCCCCACTTAATGTAGTGAGGGTGCTCCCCCCAGTGTAACTCCTTGTGGATTAGTACAGAGATATGTGAAATTGTGTCCCAACGACTGTGTATGGCTTGGAACCAAAACTCGATTTACCTTAATCATTAGTCTGCTGGACTTTACCTCGCCTGTCATGCACCACAGGGCACTTGATGTGCCCCGGTAGAGCCGGGCAAGCACACATTGTGTCCATTCCTACCTCCTGTTGAGTTCAATGTATGATCAGGCTACAGTTGCAAAACCCTGTTCCTACAGTTCTGCTGACTTGCGTCTGATGCTTTTTGCCAGCATGGTTTGTCCTGTTAATTTTGGTACATTAAAAGCTTTAATGGAACAGAGAGAAGTGCCAAATGGGAGCTTTTGTACCAATCTTTCCTACTAAAAAAGTAACTGTCACCTGAAACAATTGAACCTTTTAAAGCCCTGGTGATGCAGATGGTCTTCTAACTGCAAATTGCTCCTCTTCCTTCTCTCCACCCCACCAACTCTCTCCTACCCAGGTACCTGCTAGCTTTATTCTGTTTCCCCTCCTCACTCATGCCCTGTTGACTTATCTGAGTTATTTATCAAGAACCATTGCTAAGGAAACGGGTCCCATTAAGGGTTCCTGACCCCTAGTCATTGCTCTTATCTGGCAGCAGGAAGGCAGGTTCACTTTGGATTTAATCCAGGCAAGGTTCCTGACCAGACCTGGTGTCCAACTGCCAGAATTTTTCTACAGACTAGCTGCCCCACCCAACCCACAAACTAGCAGCTGGATATTAACTTGACAAAATATTTCCTAAAATCCACTTTTTTTTTTTTTAGGTGTTAACTTGGGACATTGGCAAAATTACCCCTCAAAAGCTACCAAATCTTAAGGGCATAGTGAATCTACAATCTGGAGCCCCCAAGCCAGAGGAGAATCCCAGCCTAAACGTTCAGTTTAAGATACAACAACTAGCTATTTCAGGTGAGACGGCTGCATTAACCAGAACTAATATGGTTGGAGGAGGTAGGGGAATTGTAGGAATAGGGGTCTCCTAGCGTTGAATTGGACCTAGGGACTCGGTAGAACATAGAGCAGAGTTCACTTCAAACAGATGAAGTTACCTTGAAACACTAACAGTTTCATCTTGCAAGTAGAAGATTGTGAAATCTTGATGATTTGGATAATTTCTCATGGCCTTTCCAGGGCAAAATAATGGGTATTTCACAGGCTTCTGCCTGGAACATACATGAACTTCTCTGGTGTAGGGCGAGGAAGAGGGTTTTTGTGGGGGGGGGGGATTTCCCCCACACGCAGTATGGCTTTCCTTAGTTCTTTGACTTCTGTGGGCCTAGCACAGGAAAAACCCATCCTGATTATCAGTGACAATTTTATTTTGGGAAATTATTTCTCCTCCTAACTCTGAAAGCTCTTAACAGCCTAACTCCTCTAGTTTCAGAGCATGAAATCAAACCTGAAGGTTACAGTGTTAATGCAACCATGGACTTGAGAAATTAAGCCTATAGGCCCCAGTCCTGCAAACAGACACAATGTATGTGAATACCATTGAAACCAATTGGATTTGTGTAAAGTTACTCACATAAGCAAGTGTTTGTAGGAACAGGGCCTTAACCTTAACTCAATCACATTCTACGTATTTGATTATACACTTGCAGAAAATATTGCTTAGAACCTAATGAGGTGGGAGCGAGGATCAGTGAGGGCAATGGATTAGCAAGGGCAGAAGACAGTGTTAATATAAGCACCTTCTCACTGGGGAGGTTCCAGAATGCTGTGGTGGTCAGGTGTGTGGCAAATGACCAAACCTGGCATCTCAGGCACAGCCTCTGGAGCTGCAGTGCAGTTGAGGAGGCCACTCACCTACTGAAACGATGTTCAACTTGCGCTGGCCTATCCAGAGGACTTTCTAGATTCCACATTGCTGACCCCGAAGTTTATTGAATGGCTGAAATTTGTGTTGCCAACCGAAGCCCTTTTGAGAGACACAAGTGTTCCCTCTCTATAAAGAGCTTTTTTTCCATCTCTTGTACCTGTGCTAACATGCATTTGCTAATGACAGCATGCTGTGTAGTGCTTACGCAAATAACTAGAGACTTGAACAAATCAGAATTAATGGCCTCAGTTCTAAGGGAAGACTTTCAAAAAGGTGTGATTAACTTCAGCTAGCAGACAAAGGCATAGCAAGAACCAGTTGGAATACAGTAACTCCTCACTTAGTCATCCCGGTTAACATTGTTACGCGCCGATCAATTCGGGAACATGCTCATTTAAAGTTGTGCAATGCCCTGTTATAACCTTGTTTGGCAGCCGCCTGCTTTGTCCACTGCTTGCAGAAAGAGCAGCCCATTGGAGCTAGCGGGTGGGGGCTTGGAACCAGGGTGGACCGGCAGCCCCATATCAGCTCCCTGCTCCCATAAGTTCCCTGTGCAGCAGCCACCCAGCAGGCTACCAATTGCCGGCAGTTCAGCTGTCCCGCCCCCCCCCACCCCCACTGCCATGTGCTGCTCCTGTCCTCTGCCTTGGAGCTGCTCCCGGGAGCGTCCTGCTTGCTGTGCATGGGAGGGGGCAAGAGGGGGGCTAATGTCAGGGTGTCCCCCTGCTCCTGCCCCCCACTGACCCCCTTCTCCATATAGAGCAGGGTGGGGACAGGACAGGGCTCAGGATGGAGAGAGTTTGCTGGCCACACCTGCTGTCTCAACTTCCTGATCTTTTTAAAGGCAATGTACTTAGAGTGGTGTCCGCGTACTTAAAGGGGCAATGCACATCTCTGTCTCCCACACACAGGTTGTGAGTCTGTCTCCCCTCCCTCCATTTGTGCTGCCTTGTAGAGTGTTAGGCTACATTAACAACAATGCGTTAACCCTTGAGGGCTCAGCCGAATGCTAGTTCACCATTTAGCAGTAAGGCATTCCCCAGGAAATATCCCACCCTCTGACTTCACCACCTCAACCAAGCTTCACAATCATCATTGCTGTGTACAGTATTAAATTGTTTGTTTAAAACTTTTTTATATATATAATATATATTACGTCTTTTGGCTGGTGGGGGAGAAAAAAAATCCCTGGAACTGAACCTAACCCCCTCCTCCCCCCATTTACATTAATTCTTATGGGGAAATTGGATTCGCTTAACATCATTTCACTTAGTCACATTTTTCAGGAACATAACTACAACGTTAAGCGAGGAGTTACTGTACCCAGATTGGAAATAAGTGCAAACTTATAACCGTGAAGATAACTAACTAGTGGTGGAGTTGACCAGGGCTGCAGTAGTTTTTCCATTGTTTAAAGCAAGAGTGGATGTCTTTGTAAAAGCTCTGCTCTAGTCCAATTGCCTATTTGGCTTAGAGTGGGAATTATGTGTAGCTAGTGTACAGCATATGCTATGCAGCAGGTCAGAATGGATCGGTGATCCTTACCCTTCTGTGTACCAGGATCTCTCTCTCACTTAGCAATATAGGAGAGATGGTGTGGCCACACTACCAGGTTAAGAACCCCTAGACTAGAGGATTACAGTCATCCCTTCTGGCATAAAAATCAGCTGAGAAAGGGAGGGTAGAAGAGAAACCAATTCAACCTGAACAGTAGTGCTTGCTAGGTGGAAGAACTAAACTCCTCTGCACAGAGCATTTACAAAGCAGATTATCCAGACTTCAAGGGGGGGAGCGTGTGAAAATGTAAACTCTTGCTCTTCATGTTCCCCTTTGTGTAGGATTGAAAGTAAATCGCCTTGACATGTTTGGAGAGAAATACAAGCCTTTTAAAGGTGTCAAGTACATCACAAAAGCAGGAAAATTCCAAGTCCGGACATAAGAAGATGCTCTATTTGCCAGAGCAAGTAGTACAATTTTTTTTCCTTCAGATTTGGAAATCGTGACCGTTTAGTGACGTATGTTGCTATTAGGTGCCAATTGAGTAATTATGCACACTAATTAATTTGGGATCAAAGCATTTCTATTCACAGCAGCTATTCAAATGAAAGTATAGTCTGTTTTTTCATAAACATGGCTTTAAACTAGGTTGCTTTTTTTTCTAACTTTCAATAAATTCTTTTGAACAAGGATTGTTTGAGAATTGGGTGGTTCGCAGAATGCCACTAACGCACTGCCAAATAAGATATCAAAGCCAGGCTTGCAGGTGGTGAAGCACACTGGCAAAGGCCAGGCAACCCAGCAGGACCCTCTTGTGATGGCAGGTCTTACTGCTGCCGGGTGAGAGAATACTACACTTTCTCAGAGCCTGCCACAAGTTACCATTTCAAAGTGCAGCATGATATCACTTCAGAACTAGAATGCAGCAGAGAGAATGGGTAGGCTTCCAGGTGAGCATGGGACATGTCAAACTTGTCGCTTGCCTTGAGAGCCTTTCTGATGAACAGAAAAATCTTTTGCTCCTGTTTACAAGATACTGCCTTAGGAAGTGTTTGCCTTACTCAGCTTTCATTTGTGCCACCAACAGATGAGCTGCTAAAATAACTTTCTGCATCCAAACTTGGGAGTGATTGTTGCTTCAGTATTCCACTTTCTTTCCACTTCTCACATTACTTTGTATTTTTTTACAAATACAGTTGCAGAGAGGAAGATCTATTTTTATGTAAAGCCTCAGCTTTGATTTAGAGGTACTTCTTCTTTGAAGCAAATGCCACCAGACGTGTGTGCCATGTGTACATTGGAGTGTAGCTTTTAGGTAGCACAGTAGAAAATGTAAAATGTACTTAAAGGTTGTATGCTTTATTGTAATTAATTAAAATAAAAGGGAACTCTGCTGCAAATATCTCTGCTTGTAAAAATGTATTTCTTTGCTTATGACCTGCATCTCTAATGCTCTGGCAAATAGCACATGAAGCTTTTGTTATACAAACAAAGCAACCACCAGTTACAGCTACCCTTACCACCTTGCTTATAAGGAATAAGTACTACCACCACCTAACAGGACATGGAGGTGATGAGCCATTCACTTCATTTAGCTTTGCTTAAAAAATACTGAAATGTATAACTGTCAATCACCTTCCTAACACTAACCACTGCGTCTTCTCTAAAGCTGAGAACAAAACAACTTATTAGGCACTGGCATTGTCCAAATGTGCCATGAAATAGACTGAGGTCCAACATTGTCTCATTTGTTAGAAGGAGCAAGGAATCAGGACACTGCAGTTCATGTCCCTACTTTGCCATTGACTTTGTTCCCTGACTTGTGCCTATTTACCTGTAACAGGGGTAAGTAGGTATTAAGACCTGACCTGAGAGGAAAAGATTAAGCAAAGGTCTGCAGCCAAAACTTTCAAACCTGGATAGCAAAACTAGCTTTTTTAATTCTTATTTAAGCACTTGAGAAACAACCAAAACAAAGCCTGAGTGAGAATCTCCAGCTTCCATTGACATTAGTGCAAGTTGTAGATTTTCAGACAAGCTGAACACCTGGCTAATTTTATTTAGGATGAAGTTTAACTTTTGGTATCTAGGCTTATATTTGGACCATTAATCATCATCTAGGTACAACCAATGTTGAAATCCGCATTCTGAGGGAGACAGAATAATAACTACCTTTCAACCAATGAGGAATTAAATTTTAGCACGTGTTCTCATTGAACATGCATATGTTATCATTAATGATCTGGAGGATGGCATGGACTGCACCCTCAGCAAGTTTGCAGATGACACTAAACTGGGAGGAGCGTTAGATACGCTGGAGGGTAGGGATAGCATACAGAGGGGCCTAGACAAATTTGGAGGATTGGGCCAAAAGAAATCTGATGAGGTTCAACCAGGACAATGCAGAGTCCTGCACTTAGGACAGAAGAATCCCATGCACTGCTATATAGCAGCTAGGCAGCAGTTCTGCAGAAAAGGACCTAGGGGTTACAGTGGACGAGAAGCTGGATATGAGTCAAGCATGCCCTTGTTGCTAAGGAGGCTAATGGCATTTTGGGCTGTATAAGTAGGGGGATTGCCAGCAGATTGAGGGACGTGATCATTCCTCTCATCTGGAGTACTGTGTCCAGTTTTGGGCCCCACACTACAAGAAAGATGATGAAAAATTCATAGACTCTAGGACTGGAAGGGACCTTGAGAGGTCATTGAGTCCAGTCCCCTGCCCTCATGGCAGGACCAAATACTGTCTAGACCATCCCGGATAGACATTTATCTAACCTACTCTTAAATATCTCCAGAGAGAGATTCCACAACCTCCCTAGGCAATTTATTCCAGTGTTTAACCACCCTGACAGGAACTTTTTCCTAATGTCCAACCTAAACCTCCCTTGCTGTAGTTTAAGCCAATTACTTCTTGTTCTATCCTTAGAGGCTAAGATGAACCAGTTTTCTCCCACCTCCTTATGACACCCTTTTAGATACCTGAAAACTGCTATCATGTCCCCTCTGTCTTCTCTTTTCCAAACTAAACAAACCCAATTCTTTCAGCCTTCCTTCATAGGTCATGTTCTCTAGACCTTTAATCATTCTTGTTGCTCTTCTGTGGACCCTCTCCAATTTCTCCACATCTTTCTTGAAATGCAGTGCCCAAAACTGGACATAATACTCCAGTTGAGGCCTAACCAGTGCAGAGTAGAGCGGAAGAATGACTTCTCATGTCTTGCTCACAACACACCTGTTAATGCATCCCAGAATCACGTTTGCTTTTTTTGCAACAGCATCACATTGATGACTCGTATTTAGCTTGTGGTCCACTATAACCCCTAGATCCCTTTCTGCCGTACTCCTGCCTAGATAGTCTCTTCCCATTCTGTATGTATGAAACTGATTGTTCCTTCCTAAGTGAAGTACTTTGCGTTTGTCTTTATTAAACTTCATCCTGTTTACTTCAGACCATTTCTCCAATTTGTCCAGATCATTTTGAATTATGACCCTGTCCTCCAAAGCAGTTGCAATCCCTCCCAGTTTGGTATCATCTGCAAAGTTAATAAGCATACTTTCTATGCCAATATCTAAGTTGTTGATGAAGATATTGAACAGAGCTGGTCCCAAAACTGACCCCTGCGGAATCCCACTCATTATACCTTTCCAGCAGGATTGGGAATCATTAATTACCCTCTGAGTACGGTTATCCAGACAGTTATACACCCACCTTATAGTAGCCCCATCTAAGTTATATTTGCCTAGTTTATTGATAAGAATATCATGTGAGACCGTATCAAATGCCTTACTAAAGTCTTGAGGTCTTTAAACCACGATTTGAGGACTTCACTCAGACATAGGTTAGGGGTTTTGTTACAGGAGTGGGTGGGTGAGATTCTGTGGCCTGCATTGTGCAGGAGGTCAGACTAGATCATAATGGTCCCTTCTGACCTTAAGTTTAGGAGTCTATACCACATCCACCGCTTCTCCCTTATCCACAAGACTCGTTATCCTATCAAAGAAAGCTATCAGATTGGTTTGACATGATTTGTTCTTTACAAATCCATGCTGGCTATTCCCTATCACCTTCCAAGTGTTTGCAGATGATTTCCTTAATTACTTGCTCCATTATCTTCCCTGGCACAGAAGTTAAACTAACTGGTCTGTAGTTTCCTGGGTTGTTTTTATTTTCCTTTTTGTAGATGGGCACTATGTTTGCCCTTTTCCAGTCTTCTGGACTCTCTCCCGTCTCCCATGATTTTCTAAAGATAATAGCTAGAGGCTCAGATAGCTCCTTGAGTATTCTAGAATGCATTTCATCAGGCCCCGGTGACATGCAGGCATCTAACTTTTCTAAGAGATTTTTAACTTTTTTTTAATCTTCTAAACCTACCCCCTTCCCATTAGCATTCACTGCGTTAGGCATTCATTCAGACTTCTCGGTGAAGACCGAAACAAAGAAGTCATTAAGCATCTCTGCCATTTCCAAGTTTCCTGTTACTGTTTCTCCCTCCTCACTGAGCAGTAGGCCTACCCTGTCTTTGGTCTTCCTCTTGCTTCTAATGTATTGATAAGTCGTCTTGTTTCCCTTTCTTCCTGTAGCTAGTTTGAGCTCATTTTGTGCCTTTGCCTTTCTAATCTTGCCCATATATTCCTGTGTTGTTTGCCTATATTCATCCTTTGTAATTTGTCCTAGCTTCCATTTCTTATGACTCCTTTTTATTTTTTAGATCATGCAAGATCTCGTGGTTAAGCCAAGGTGGTGTTTTGCCACATTTTCTATCTTTCCTACTCAGTGGAAGAGCTTACTTTTGGGCCCTTGAGTGTCCCTTTGAAAAACTGCCAACTCTCCTCAGTTGTTTTTCCCATCAGTCTTGATTACCATGGGACCTTACATATCAACTCTCTGAGCTTACCAAAATCCACCTTCCTGAAATCCATTGTCTCTATTTTGCTGTACTTCCTTCTATCCTTCCTTAGAATTGTGAACTCTGATTTCATGATCACTTTCACCCAAGCTACCTTCCACTTTCAAATTCTCAATGAGTTCCTCCCTATTTGTTAAAATCAAATTTAGAACAGCTTCCCCCCCAGTAGCTTTTTCAACCTTCTGAAATAAAAAGTTGTCTGCAATGCAGTCCAAGAACTTATTGGATAGTCTGTGCCCCGCTGTGTTATTTTCCCAACATATCTGGATAGTTGAAGTCCCCCATCACCACCAGATCTTGGGCTTTCGATGATTTTGTTTGTTGTTTCAAAAAAGCCACATCCACCTCTTCCACCTGGTTAGGTGGCCTGTAGTAGACCCCTAGTATGACATCACCCTTGTTTTTTAACCCCTTTTAGCCTAACCCAGAGACTCTCAACACGTCCATCTCTACCTCAGTCCAACTGTGTATTTTTAATATACAAGGCAACACTGCCTCCCTTTGTCCCATCTATCCCTCCTGAGCAAGCTGT